TTATCTTTACCCACTTCTTCTCTTTCGGGTCGCACTGGTGCCCATGTACAGAAAAAGAAAGAAAAAACACATTAAAAAAAAAAAAAAAAAAAAAAAAAAAGATCGGGACAAAGTGGGAGGACACTGCACTCTGATTCGTGGTTTAGGTTACGGCATGGGAAAAGGGACAATTCCGACCTTACAAGGCGAACGATACCTACTTGTGTATGAGACTCTGTGAGTGATATCGCGACTTGCTGACCTGTCCAGGATGTACCTTGCTGGACATGGGCACCAGTGCGACCCGAAAGAGAAGAAGTGGGTAAAGATAATGAATGATTTTTTTTTTTTATGTAACACAGTTCAAAGGTGCTGCCCCTGCCAGCTCCTTGCAGATGTTGGAGTCTACCATGGCCTAAGATTCATAACTGGTTCTAACTACCATACCCATTATCTACACGTAGGCTCTCACAGCAGCACATCTTCATCTATAAGTCACTCCTTGGTGTGCTGCCTTTTTATTTCTCCTCCCAGTCATGTCGTCAGTGCAGTTACAGCGTGCGCACTCAGGCCATCATTACCTGCGTTCCCTCAATCCGGTCTGAACTCAGCAAAAATACTTATTCTTTCTCTGCTCCTGTAACCTGAAACACCTTGCAAAAAGAGCTTAAGCTGTCCACTTTGATTTCTTTAAGGTATTTTAAACAATTTATAAGGTCAATAGAAAAATTAATATGTATTGTTTTATAACACTACTTTTATTTCTGTTGCATTTTAGTCTTTATTGTTGTCTGTACTTTATATGTTGTCTGACTAAAACAGGCGTCTTGCAAATGAGACTATTAGAGACTAACCTGTAAAAATAAAGGTTGAATTAAAAACGTAGCTATCAATGTATATTCTAACAAATGAACAAAAACCAGGGGATTATTCAAATAAATACATTAAATAAATTGCACAAATCAAATGTTTTAACAGCTTTTTTTTCTTAGAGTCACAGATGTTTACAATACGAGTATTAGATTTATGATATGCTGTAGTTTTTTTTTTTGTGCACAGTTAAGCCCAGTAATAACAGTATCTGTTTGAAACTTTGATCTAATATAGCGATTATTATTTTTGGATTTGACAGAAAAACATATATGACACACTGCTGTCATGAAGAGAAGCCCTGTTTTTATTTCATTCGACGTGACGTCATCCAAACATTCTTGTACAGTGTGTTCACGTGACCAAGTACCCAGATGAATAAATTTCCTAAAACTCAAAATATGTGAGTTACTATATTGTTTTTGTTGTCCAATCTGTCTTTTATCACTTTTTTACTGTCACTGTCTTTATTGCGACAAAAAAAACATATAGAACTCTCTCCTGAATATTATTTGTATTTATTGCTTTATCAAATGACAAATCATAATTTTATGATACGTCATAGCTGTAAAATGCTAAGTCATAATGAGTTAGAAGATCGTTTCTGACCTCATAGTGACGGAAATGGGCTTTTATATAACTCGAAATTAATAAATCAGATAATAAATTGTTGAAATCAGGTCTCTCTTGTAAATGAGTCCTCGAGACTCAATGGGATTTACCTGTATAAATAAAGGTTGAATAAATAATTAAATGTCTTTCCTACTTTCCACTTCGCTAGGTGGCGGTAAAGAAGTTTTTGTTTTGTTGCCAAACTTCAAATAGGAAAACAGAAGAAGAAGAAAAAATAACAAACGAAGAAGAAAATTTACTTCCTAATGTTTATTTGATGGTGGATTATGTCGCCATTAATTTACCAGATGTAAACTGCTGATTTTCTGAGAGGGACTAGATGAGGACCACGGCGGGTTAAAATCTGATGTTTGTTTTTTTTAATGTCCGATTTATTTAGCTAAATACTGAAGCTAACTAAGCTAGCTGCTTAGCTTCACCCAGCGGTGGTGCGTTTAAGGACACATTGTTTTTCCAGCAACACATGATAAAATAACTTTTTATGTCTGTGGCTGTTCTGTAACCAGCAGACAGGATGATTAAGTTCGTGTTGATGGTGAACCAGCAGGGTCAGACCAGACTCTCCAGGTACTACGAGCCGGTGGAGCTGAGCAGGAGGGCGGCGCTGGAAGCCGCTGCTGTTCGCTGCTGCCTGAGCCGCCACAAGGACCAGGTACCTGCTGGTACTTCTATGCTTCAAACCGAAACAAGCTGTTGGAGCCTTTTAACTCTGCCTCATGTCTCTCCTCAGTGTTCCTTTGTGGAGTATAAAGACTTTAGGCTGGTTTATCGTCAGTATGCTGCTCTTTATGTGGTGATGGGAGTCACACATGGCGAGGTAAATTAATATAAATAAAGCATTTTGTACCACCTCATGCTTTCGTCACTTCACGTTTGACAACAATTTTGTTTCATCTGGACTCCTGCAGAACGAGCTGTCCATCTACGAACTGATTCAGAACTTTGTGGAAGTTCTGGACAAGTACTTCAGTCGTGTGGTGAGTTCAAGACCCTCTTCAACTAAACTTAAGTCAGGGTGCCCATGTAACTTTTTGGAAAAGACCTTTGACCCTTCCCAGATTGATGGGGCACCACAGCTGCTGCTCTAAGAAAAAAAAAAATCTTGCCGACTTTGTCTTGGTGTCAACACACCTGTATGCTGCAGAAACGTTAATGCATTAACGGTGGACATGTTTAATGAATTATTAAACCGTTGTCGTTTGTCTCCCAACAGAGTGAACTTGACGTATCCTTAGTGCAGCAGAAAACAGGATCTTTATAAGCTGCTGATAAATCTGTAAATGACATCGAAAAGCATCATAAAGTAACACGCCTGTGTGTTGAGCTTTCTTTGACCCCATGACCTGATCAGATCATGTTCAACTTGGACTCGGTCCACATCATCCTGGACGAGATGATCCAGAACGGCCACATCGTGGAGACGAACAAGAGCCGCGTCCTCGCTCCGCTCACCGCCATCAACAAGATGGTGGACGGGTGACAGATCAATAAGTTTATCAATCAGTGGTTTGACGTTAAGACTTCCTGTTCTGAATGCTTATAAACTGAATAAATCAGTTCGTAGTAAAATTTATCCCTGAGGGAAACAGCCTTTTGTTGGATTGTATTTTATAACTTTTTAAGAATAAAATTATGTTTTTGTCACTCTATGGTTGAAGATTAATAAAAATCCTTCAGGGTTCTGAATCTTTACACCAGATTTACAATATTTAGTTCCAAGTGAACTTTTACAGAATTTTCTTGTTGTAGTTGAACGTTCTGATTGGGTTTCTACACATTTTCCAAATTTAAACTCATTTGTCGGTGGGTATCTATATTTGAGTTTAAAAGTACGGTTTTTTGGGAAATGTTCTGTACAGAGGTGAACAGCAGTGAACATCATCCCAATTAAGTTTTAAAGCCTGGGTCCACGTTTTCTATACAAATATGTACAGTATCTGGAAAACCTGCATCTGTAATGAAATGGGAATAAAATTCAGTACAATTATAATTCATAATCTGCAGTTATTAAAATAATGTGCCACCGCAAGTTTTAAAGATATTTTATCTTTTAGAAAATGGCAATGTGGAACCAAAACACGTTTTATGAGCTGCCGTCAGAATAAACGGGTTTCTGCTCCGTTGGTCGACAGACTCAAATGAAAACACAAGACTCCGTCTTTACTTCATACTTTGCAAACATTTTAATGATTATTTTTTGGAGCATACACATTTGAAAATATCTGTTTACCCCAAACTGCAACTTCAGTTAAATAAATGTTTATAATATACAAAGAAAATACAGGGAGAGCAGAGCTTTTTGTTGTTGTCTCATCTTTAAATGTGCATCGCACACAACCAGTGTTTTGTTTTTATGTCTTTGTAGCTCGTCAGAAATTAAACACAAAAAGCTCTTTGAACTTTGACCTTTCTATCGGGTCAGAAACAAACCGAAAACCTGTCGCACACGCAGAAGTGAAATGTAACTGAAGACGAACTGAAAACAAGTCGAGGAGGAAAAACGAAAGCGAGCACGACTGATGGAAAACTAAAAGTCGAACCAGGCACTGGACCGAACAGACGCGCACGCACACGCAGACACACACCAGCCTGCAGGATCAGAGAGGGTGTCAGGAGCGAGGACTGAAGATGTTTCCACAACCTGAACCTCTCCATCCAGCAGACTGTCCGTCCGCCCGTCTATCAGTCACTTGGCTGGTTGCCCCGGCAACACGGACAGATGATTTCTATTTTTGAGGCGCATGCTCAGCGTGACAGCAGCAAAGGTCGAAGGTCAGTTGAGATGGAAGCCCTTCTCCATGGTGGCAGCTAACAGACGCTCCCTCATGATGTCCTCGGAGGAATACTCGGGAAGCTTCAGATAGTGGACACACGTGTTGACAGAGGGATAACTCAAGTCGGTGGCGTCCACCTGAGGACGGCAGGAAGTCAAGGTTAGGGTAAAACCCTACGTTATATTGTAGTTAACACAGAACCACAGTGGAGAAAAAACAACTAAACAATGCTAATCACCTTAGCTTCTCTATGGTGTTTCCAATGTTAAGTTAGCGTCTATGCTAATCTTAGGCAGTTTATGATTACAAGGGTTTTCTGGAGTGTTTTTGTTCTTTATTAGACATAAAATTAGATAAATCTGTTAATTTTCAAGGAGCTATAATCATAAATTTTAACACTCAGTCTTTTGAGTCGAGACAGGAGGTGCCTGAAGACTCCCACCCGTAGACTCAACCGCTTCACCCTTTTAAACTGAGCGAATGTACCTTTCTGACGATAGTGAGGCGCGGATGCAGGTTGGCGAGGCCGCCGGGGGGTAGCGTGGAGCAGCCGGTGGTGAACTGCAGGAAGGCTTTCCTTTCATCAGACGACATCCCACATAGAACTCTAACAAAGCGCTGAAAGCCGGGGCTGCAGAGAGGATTAAAAACAAAAACCAATCACTCAAATCATCCCTTTATTTTTACAAATATCCTCTGCAGAGAGAGCGGTGCAGCACCTGTCTCTGGTGTAGCCAAGCTTTGGTTCGGTGTAACTGATGATGTCATCGGCATTCCAGGAAGGTGATTGGTTGCCACAGAGGATCATCTGCACTTCTTTAGGACTGAAGGAGCTCAACTTCTCCATCGGAAACACGCGATTAAAACCCTCTGAGGAGCAAATAACAGGATTAGTCTCGCTTTTATTCAACATAATTACTGAATAAAAATATATTTTAAAAACAATTTAAAAAAACTAAAGAGGAAGTTAATTTTAAATAAGATAAATACACGATTTTAATGAGAATGGAAGAGACAGCGTTAACTGACAAAGCTGTAAAAATTAAAAGATGTTAAAAAGAGAAACTACAGGGGTGTGTGTGTGTGTGTGTGTGTGTGTGTGTGTGTGTGTGTGTACCTTTGAAGGCCTCCATCTGTTTCTGGATGCCAGTGTGCATACAGAAGTCAAACATCAGCTCCACGTACTCCTCGGCGTTCTCCATGGTCACCATCTGCATCAACAGAGAAGAACTGATGTGAGGAGACGGTCAACGTTCTGTCTCACGGGCCGCCACCTCGCACCATCAGATGTTTGATTAATTTTTTAAACAAACATCAGAATCCAACCGAGCCTCCCCCCCGTCTGTCCACACCCTTCTTTTTTTTTAAATCCTAAATTCTTCTAGTCTTCCATCCAAAGTCCTTTATTTGTGGTCTTTTCTGACACCGAGGTCCAAACGGGCTGCAGGCTCTTTAAAGTGGCGGTGCTCAGAACGCTCAAAAGGCAACATAGAAAAATATTTTTAAATGTTTCTATGAACCTGATAAATTAACATCATGAACTGCTAAAACAAATAAATTTTAAGCTTATTCAGAAAAGTATACAGGCTTGGCTAAATGTACACAAAAGACAGATGGCAGGAAATTAACACTTCTAGAATAAAAATTTCTGTAATGATTTGTGGTTGAAATGATGAAAAACAAAATAAAGCTTCAGGGTAACTTGGAAACCTTTAACTATTATCTTTTAAAAGCTGCACCTTTAATCTTTGTGAGGTTTATAAGGAAGTTGATGAACTAAAACTGCGCAAACGTTTAGATTCCCTCGTTTCTTTTTCTTGTCAGGAAGATTTTATTATAACAAAATAAAATTAGGGTTGAATTTAAAATTTTTGTACCGTCCTGTTTGTCTCATTTTAAATGAAACAATCAGTGGTTTGAGCTCTGGATTGATCTGAATTAATGACTTTAAAAAAAAGGAAGAATACAAACGACTGATGTGGAAATTAGTCGAAGTAAATTCTAACTGGATTCACATTTTAAAATACAAAAACATAATGCACTTATAGGTTTAGATAAAGCAACGACTCAGCTGGGATCTTTCTGGACTGTATATTAGCAAATATTCAGTTTATACTGTTAATCAAATTTAACAAATTACATTAAACCAAATCACCATTCACAGTTTAATGAAAATAGTTATTTTGTGAAACAAAATGAGCTGCGAGGTTTTTGTTTCGTCTCAGATTTATGTTTCACCTAAAAAAGCTGAAGAGTTTAACCGTTGTGCGCGTCTTACCTCGTCGTCTCCGTTGGGTTTGAGATCCACCGCAGAGAAACCGTGAACTTTGGACGACGGACAGAACTGGAAGTTTAATCTGTTCGAGAAGAGAAGTGTCAGAAAAATCACATTCAGGCTGCAGTTCTGACCCGAAATACACAAAAAACAAACACGGAACAATCACAAACCAGAACCTTCTTCTTCTGACTCAAAACAAAGTGTTGCAACTTCACCAACGTCCGCTTTACGACAAATTCTGGATTATTTATTTAGAAAAACCCAAACCAACGAGGACAGTTTGGGTCCTCCAGCAAAATTACGACGACTTACAAACATTTGTATTTGGGCTCGGTGGTTCGGTGCAAAACTCGTGTCTTCTACTAGAAGTTTTCAGATTTTTCAGCTGATTTTTTAAAAATAAAATCTGGTGGAAATTGACTAATTCATCGTCTGTTTATTCTTTGTCTTTTCTTGCCTGTTAGGTGTGGATTTTTATGGATTTTTATGGATTTATTGTTTTATTGTTTATTTTCAGTGTTGCTGGACAACTGTTTTATTGTATTGCACTGTACAGGGTTTAATAAATAAAATGAGATTTGATCTGTTAAGTTTTATACAAGGTATGTTCAAGTGAAATTATTCAGACTTATTTTCCCCTCAGTACCGTATTTTTCGGACTATAAGGCACACTTAAAATAATTACATTTTCTCAAAAATCAGCAGTGAGCCTTATAATCCGGTGCACCTTATGGATTAATTCTGGTTGTGCTTACTGACCTCGAACCAATTTTATGTGCTACACGACACTCAAAAATCTGTAAAATGTTTCAGTTTCGCTTAATGCGCCTTACAGTCCGAAAAATATGGTAATTATTATTTTTTATCGTTTATCGGTGTGTGTTTTACCCCAGATCCTCGATGCTGAGGGGAGGTCCGGAGCCCAGCGGGTTCCTCAGCATCAAGTCCTGCAGTCTCGTATTCTTCTCGTCCTCAGACAGAGTCTTGCTGGATAAGATCTGTCTCCTCTTCAGCGCCAGTTCCTTCACCTCCTTCAGGAAACCGACTCTGGACAAAGAAGATCCAGAAAGATCAGAACCTGCAGAGGAAGTGGACTCCCTGTACGCACAGTCCGTGTGGAGGGATTATATCGACACAAGAAGTGATGTCCCGCCTGTAAAGAGGCGGATTAGAAGAAAAGTTCTGACCTGTGTGGGTTGACGAGCTGGAAGTCGTCCCACGTCAGGATGCCGTGGTACCAGGCGGGCGGTTTACGTTTAGGAGGGTCCATGATGAACTCGGACTTCGAGTCCTCGTCGAAGCTGCCCACTGAGAACGTCTCCTGACTCTCCTCTGTGGACGCTTCCGACTGCACCTCTGATAGCACATGGGACCGCTCGGGTCCGTGCCCCGGCAGCGAGCTGCGGGACTGGTACAGCAGCTTGCTCATGTTGGATTTAATGTCCCCCATGCAGAGCAGCTTGAAGAAGGGCTGAGAGACCGGCAGGTCCACCAGACGGTTATCCTGGATGCACTTGGCTAAAAAGACCCCCAGGAAGTGGAAGAGCTTGGTGATTCGGTCCAGCTCCTCGCTGTCCTGGGGGAACGGAGCAGGAAACAGTCCACAAGAACGCTGCACGTAAAATCCTGGAGGCTTCAGACCACCACCCAGGTCCACCTAAAACCAGCAGGGACACAAAGAACTGGGATCAGTTTATTAACTCCAGTAAACCTCGTTTGATTTGTTAGTTTGTGGGAATTTTTTTATCATTACCAAAACAATCTCTCGCTTATGATCTTTAATCCTGTTTTTCTTTTCTTCTAGTTTTACCACACGCATCACAGGATTGTGAATTATTTTAACATTTCACATCATTAGTGACAAAAAACTTGGACTCAACCAGATTCAGGATGGCTGCTACAGAGAAGTGAGATAACTAAACACAAATGGCTCCGACTCGGTCAGTTTTTCAGACGTTGAGCTAAAATTTGTCGACGTTGCAGCTGGGAGTCACTCAACACGTACCGATTGCTGCACACCGATTTAAACTGGGCTTTTAATATTAAGATGGTATTTTTATTTTTAGGCCTGATGAAATCTGTTCCTAAAGAGTCCTGGGACGCAAATCAAGGGGCAAACCAGGTCCGTGATTTAATTCCAGCTGGTTTCCAACAAGACTGAGCAAATTTTATCATCAAAGAAACTAAACGGTGTTTCCTTTTGATTCCTCAGGCTCAATCGTTTTAACCTGATGTGAAAAAAAAAAAGTTAAATTTGAAATAAGAACCATAAAATGTCCTCATTTTGAAATAACGACAGTAATAAAAACTAAAATCCACTTTAGTTCAAACAACGTCAGATGTTTTCAACGTTTCTGGGACTGACCTGTCGCGACTCGTCGTCGGGGAAGTCGTCGTCGCACAGCCAGATACCGAGAGACGTCCTCTGAAACTCAGCAGCAATCAGAGCGTAAAACTCCAGAGTCGGACCGAGACCGGTCCCTTCCTCTCCCTGAAACTCCACCTGGACACGAGGAACATGTTCACATCTGTTATTTTCTGCCGGGACGTGAATAAAATTATCTTCGGAGTCGTAACGACGAATAGAAAACATTCAAACTGCTGTTCAGTGTTGGTTTGAGGCGACCTCTCACCTCCAGGACGGACTTCCTGTCAGCATGGATCTGCATGACTGACTCAGCCCACTCCATCATGGACTCCCCTCGGGGGACTTTGACCCGCTCGTGTTTCAGACGACCCACCCTGAAGTCTCCTGGGTCGTCCCGCCGTACTGTGGTGGAGGGTCGGGAACGTTCCATGGTGGCCTCCCGTCGGTTCTGAAGCCACACAATCGCCCTGGAGATGCACAAACCAGACAGTTAAAGAGCTTTGTCCTGCGGTTCCCAACCAAATGTTTATTTCAGATGTGATGCAGACCCGTGCCCCAGAAACTCTCACCTGGAGGCCCCAAAGGCAGTGCAGGTGAAATACAGCTGTCTGGTCTCAAAGGGGATGAGGAAAGGACACTTGGAGGTGAGCTGCTCACACCAGTCAGGCAGAGCTCCGCTGGCAACGGCCAAAGGTTCCTGAAGAAAAACACAAAACGACACTTTGATCAGAAACAAACTCGCCTCTAAAACCCAACAGGTTCTTTTATTCATTTCCCTGAAAGAGTCTTCACAAGGGATCAACGAAGTCCTGTCTAATCTAATCTGAGGTGCATGAGACTTCCTTTAGTGTTAATCTGAGCTGACAGGTGTAGCGTGCTAAGGGCTAGGTTAGCTGCCCTTGACTACAATATATTTAAATAAAAGGGTTCCCTCTTTTTTTATTTAAATTACAGCCATGTGACCGAGGTAACTATGCGTGGATTGTTTAATCAGTGACATGAGACGTTAATTTCCTTTGACCCATCAGAATAAATGCGGTCATTTATTGAACAGAATCAAAATTTAACATCAAAACATTGTACACTTGATTAGCTGATCTGGTTCTGATTAATAAAACTTGGCACATTTTACTTAATAAGACAACAGGACATTGAAGAAGGCATCTAGGCTACTGGCAAAATAGCAGAGTTTAAAGATGGGAAATGAAGGAGTTTAAATGGAGAGAAAAGATGGATGAGGGAAAGTGTGTTGACTAGGAATGGCACCCTTCATCCGACCCCAGCTCAGCCCCGGTACACTCGATGCGTGGCGACTCGTTACCTTTGCAGAAGATAAATCAGCTCCGGTACAGAGATCCGTTTCAACGCTACCTTTCAGCGTCTCCGGTCAGGATGGCTGAGAATCATCCGAAGTAGTGACGGTACTCCGTTCAACAGAATAAGCTTCCTTAGGAGTAGTAGGGCGTTACGCCCGGGTGAGTTCACGGCGAGGCGCTGTGACTCCAGCTGGGATGGACGGACCCTTGTCTCACGGTCAAATCCATCAGCTATTGATTAAATCTGAAAGTTCCTTAGGAACTCTCAGGAAGACTTCAGTCAGAGATTCCACTCAGAAGTGAAGGACTCCATGAAAGACTCAAGAAGACCCCAGGAAGACTCCGGTCAAAGACTCAAGAAGACAAAAGACTCACTACTCAGAAGTTCCAGGAAGTGTGGACTCTTAAAGAGTTCTCACTTCCGGTCACTTCAGGACTTCCTGATTGGTTGAAACAACCAACAGGGGGTGGTTCTAGTGATGTCAGAGGGCCATTACAAGTCAAGAAAACAGCAGGAATGTTTTAGAGACTTTCAGTACAGACAGAAGACATGTTATGGCGAAGTGAGAGAAAGCAGGTGCCAGTAGCTTCTTATTTACCGTCTGCTAGGTTTAAAAACAATCCACTTCGTTCTAATAACTCTTTTCTGACTTTCGACCGACATCACTACTTTTCATTTCAGACAGAAGATCAAAATGCATAATTACTTTGTAAAATAGACATTTAACTTGATTTCTAATTTAAATGAGGATTAAAAAATCATTAATATTGTTTCACAGTTGATTTAAAATGGAGTGGTTCACTTCAACATTTAGAAATTGTATGAACTAAACACACTTTTGATTCATCAAGATATTATAAAATAGTGATGATAATATAAAAGAAGAGTGTTCTTTCAATTGAGTCAGAGTCAGAGTTTCTTTATTGTCATTCGCACCTCATGTGGTACATGTGGTGGAGCGATTGATTACTTCAGGATACAATTAGACAGTCTCTGGATGAGCTAATTTGTATTTCTGGATTCAAATCAATGAAATAACAGTTCCTGTCCCATGAAGGTCTTCAGAGGCAGGTTTTGGTTGGAGGCTGAGTTCACTACACAGGCGTTTTGATGAAGGAACGGCAGGAAAAAGTCAAGTTTGTTGAAATAAATAAATAAATTTAAAAAATATGCTTGAAGTATTAGTTTTTCTAAACTCCACGTGGTTGAATAATTTCATCACATTTGCAACACCCATCAGAACTTCTCGCTTTAATATTTTTGCTAAATTGTGCCTGAAGTTTTATGCAAATCTAAATCACAGAAAAAGAGAAACATCTTCAGAGAAAATAAAACATCGGGTCAAATAGAAGCAGTTTTTGAACGTTTTGACTCCCAAAGAAGGTAAAAGCAGTGCCTTCCTGTTAATATTTCTGCAGTCTGAAAAATTCTGATGGATTTGTGGGTCGCAGAGACTCCAGCACAACTACTGATGGAACATCAACAATAAAGCTTGTTTAAGTGGAGAGAAAGTAGTAATCAAAAAAATCTAGTGTTTTGTTTTACTGTCACAGAAGTTGATAAATGTACACAAAATGTTAGAAGACGCTGACCTCTATCTGCTGGAGAATCTTGGTGGTGACCTTCTTGCTGGTGAACTCCTCTGAAGATGCGTTGAACTGCAGCTCATCAACATCTGCACACAGGTTTGAAAGATCACCAACAGACAAATATTTCTCTGCTTCCAACATTTAATGATTGTTCAGACTCATCAAGTGAATAGTCCTCATTTTTGTTTACAGCTAAATTCAGCGATCAGTTATCGAAGTAGAGCTTGTTGCATCCGATCTTAGTTCAAACTTTAGCTTCAACAGACTACTCGAGTAATCTACACATCGATTCCTAGGACATCTATCGAGTTTTTAAATTTCACGTCGAGTATTCGTAGTGACGTCATTATGTCACATGTCACGTGATCCGCACCGAGCGCGGGTTAGCTAGTAAAAGCTACAAAATGGATTCCTCCATACGGACAGATGGCATGGATCAGGCCCAGTCTTGGTAAAAAGGTAAAAATGCATCGATAGTGTGGAAATATTTCACTAAAGATTAATCCTCCGGTTCAACTACCGTTTGCAAAATCTGCAAAGCTGTGCCGTGTGAAATTCTGTGACCATCGTATTTTGTGACCGTAGGGGGCAGTGTTGCATGCACTGTTGCAGGTCACAGAATATGGTGTAACACCGGGTCCAATCGACCGAACCAGAACCAGCTTCCTTCTGACCTTGTTCACAAACAAAAAGCAAAAAATATTAATCTCTAAACCTATAAAAAAACCTAGAAAACATAATCTGTAAAACTAAACCTAATGCGGAGCACCACGGGCGATGGTGCGGGGTGGTCGTCTGCCCCACTGGTTTCAAGTTTAGTTTTTTATGTGCTGCACGTTTCTTTCACTTTTGCAGCTTAATAATAATAATAGTTTTGGTTTTCCTGTGATTTATTTGCAGTATGATAAATGGTAGGAGCATAATATACGTTCCCGATGTTTTGTTGGTCTTTTTATGTAAACAATAAATTAAGTTTTTTTGCGGTTTTATTTTATTGATTTATTGCATCTTGAGATCCTATGACATCATCAACTACTCGAGTTCTACTAGTTTTATTATGTTAATGTCGAGTTTAAAAATTATGTAGTCGTTCAACCCCTAGTTTCAACATTCCCCAACGCTCCACTCCTCCCCTAAAACGACTGTCGACTCTGCTGTCCTTGCTTTAAATCGACTCCGGTAGAAACGTTGATTCCAGCTGTGTTTTTGTCGTACCTTCCTGTAAGGTGCGTGGATTAGAGACCGAGTCTCTTCCAATGATGTACAGGATGCGCAGCAGCTGCAGGACATCTTCCACCCCGCATGCGTTTTGGCTGCAGCCTGCTTTAGCCTGCGCTACTTCCCTAGCCCAACCCAGGATCTCATTGCTCTGATTGGCTGAGCTCGGACTCAGACCGCCGGAGCGACCCCCGACCCAACCGCTGTGCTCCACGAATTCCTGCAAAACAGGAAAATGTCAGAAATGAGCATTTATTATTTCTAAGTCACATTTATGTTTGTTTTCCTGTTCTCTCCAAGCCTGATGAGAATAACTCACCGTCTTTCCACCGTCCTTCTCTTTCTCGGAGTCCTTCAGCTCCCGGTACATTATCCTGCAGAACACCACATGAGCAGTGAAAACTCAGTGCCTCACGGTAAAATCTGAGTTCAGTTATTCCTAATGAGCTCAGTCTTACGTGTATGTGGGCTCCCAAATGCGGCGCAGCTTGTCCGTCTTCACAGATCCGCTGCAGGAGAGCTGCAGGAGCCGCTGAACGTAGTAGAAGATCGTCAGCTTGAAGTTGGAGAGGGGAAGCTCCACCTCTCGTGTCGTGCCCAGCCCCGCCACCTGAGCACACACACAAACACACAACATCGAGTTTCTCTGGAAGAAAGTATCTAAAGTCGCTTATTTAAAGAGTGACTTTCTTACCTTAAGAGTGAGCGCGAGGTGAGGCGATGGAGCACACTCCACTTCCTCCCGAACCTCCGATCGAGGCGCTCCTAAACCTGCAGAGAGAAATAAACTTTTACTTTTAGGATGAGCTCTCACAGCAGGTGAAGAACTCCATCAAGCGTCAACAACCTGCACCGTCATAAAGACAACATGGGGAGCGTGGCCCAAACGGACGTTATCAGAATCTTTCACCTCGGGTCATCGATGAGCCTGAACAGCTGCTTAATGAGAAACAGCTGGTCTCCAACAGGAAGACGGCTAATGCTAATAATAACTTTGCTTTGCCATCTCTCCACCTGGGCTGAAGCTTCGTTTCGTTAATGTTAATATTTCACAGTAACATAACGTGGACGCTACTTTTTTGAGGGATTGGTGTAGTTTTGGATTTAATTATTATAATTTACATCGTTTAACAGGAAACATTTGTTCAAGTTTTGAATTAAAGGTTCTTCTGTAATGCGATTTCAAATGTTACTTGTTTTTTTAACTTTTCCAAGAGGCTGCGTGGACTTGTTGAAACAAGGACTGTATTTATAAATTATTGTGTTTCCACAGAACCAGATGGACATTTTAGACACATTTGGCATTTTGCGTCTCAACTTTCATCCGGTAGCGTTCAAAGATCGTTATTCACATGTTAAGGACAACTGCCCTTAACTTGTACAGTTTTGGTTTGGGTAGCACAGAAAATTACAAAAAAGACCAGAATTGTCCAGTTTTCTGCATGACCAACATAAATCAATTGATCTGAAATCCAAAAATATTTTTTTCCCAGCCAGCAAACACTCCAGGAAATGTTGCGACTGTGTGGAGAGAAAACTCACAAAAAAAACAAACTTTTACAAACAATTCTTCTTTTTAAAAACACTAAAGTGTTGTATAATTATTTCACCCTGTACAATGGACGGTTCAAATAAATAATTAAAAAGAAATGAATAACGTTAATAAAACCTCTGACAGACATTAAGTTCTACTTAAAAGTTTCACACCAAATTATAACCTCTTTTTTATTTTGTGCAGATTACACAATAAATTCATGTTAATCTGAGAGTGTGGAGTGTTTCATGCCAGCCTGAGGTCAATAAGACTCAGTGCGTACCTGGTGCAGGGATCTCCAGGTCAGTAGTCTGCTGGACGTTCGTTCTTCCTGGTCGGGGGTCAAAGGCAGGGACCAAAGCAGAAAACTGACGCTTCAGGACAAAATCATCGTCCCACGTCCTCCTGCGTCCTCCTTTAGTCTCATACTCTTCCTCCTCCTGTAAGGCAGAACACAATTGTTTAAGGTGAGCCCGTGACTTCAGTCTGAGCGTGTCGGAGCCGACAGACGGCGTTTATCCAAGGCAGAGAACAAAGCCTGCACACGTACCAAAACTTCCTCGTACTCCTGGTCCTCCTGATTGTCATCTTCGTTTTCGTCGTCGTCGTCATCGGGTTCTGGGAGGTCCTCCTCATCATCTAGCTCTGCCAGCAGCGTGTTGGCACGGCAACTGTCCAGGAAGTCTTTAGATCGAGAGAAAAGACATCCATGAGAATCCTGCTTCACATCCAGAGGCAACAAAACTGCTGTTTAACTGAAGCTCCAACATTTCATGAGGAAATTCACATCGTCCACCTTCCATGTTGGTTTTATAGTAAGATCATCTTTTGCCGAGAAGGGATGGTGTTATAACCATTTTAATGCTCTTTAAAGTCAGTTAGTTGTGGCTGACTGCAAAGTGGTGTTATTAATTATAAATGTTTGAGAGGTTAAAAAAATACATCCAGGGGTTTATATAGAAGAAAAAAAACATCTGTCTTCTTGTTTCAGTGGCAGCGGGCGATAATGAGCAAAAATATAATAAACAAACCGAATACACTCAAATTTTAACGCCTCCAAGGTTAACCAGAGTAAACTTTAATTCAGTTTCATCAAAAAAGAAGCTGCAGATCTTGTTTTAACTCAGCTACTGGGCAGAAGCCATGCACCTCCAAAAACATCTTTTAACAAAGAAAACAAAACATTTAAAAAAAGAAGAAGAAAAAAAGAGCAGTAACAAATTAAGCTCTTTTTGATAAACACCCTTAAAATTAATATTTTTATATGTGACAATAAGCTTTTATTCAAGTCCACAAACTTATATTTTAAACAAAAATAAAATTAGCTCCATGCTGTGAGTCAAGCATGAACTAATAGTTGAAGCAGGCTGAAAGAGTGTTTGTGTTTTTATGTCCGTTGTGTGTATCTGTCGTTTTGTGTGTGCGTTTCGGTTTCCGTGCGTGTCCACCAACCATAGAGAGAAAACTCAGCTTCCTGTCCCGTGTCGCTCTCGCTGGACGTGGATGTCAGGCTGGTTGTCAGGGTGTTGCTTAGCAACTGGCCCACTGACAGGCCTGTGGTTGCCGTGGCTACGTTATTGCCGCTGGTTACTATGGAAGTTGACATGGTAACGGTGGAGGTGGTGCCGGTGGTGGTGAGATTAGGAAAGCTCTGAGCGCCCATGAGAGGAGAAGCTGAAAACAACCAAACAAACAAACAAACAGCAGTTAGTCACAGTCAACAAACAGCAGCTCCTGTTTATTAGTCTGAAACTGCTGCTGGGGGTCAGGAGGTCATAGGATCCTCATGTCACACCACACTACGTCGGCAGCACGTCCCCACAACGGTACCGTCACAACTCGCTCAGTCAGGACACACAACAAACGTCACGCCAGCACGAAGCTACGAGAACAGGCTTCACATGTTCAAACTGCAGGGTTTTAATATTTCACAATCACATGGATAAAAACCCTGCTTCTCCATTCCAGACTCAAACTCAGAGATCTGTGGAAACTCCTCTAAAAACGTAAATCTGCTTCCTCCACTGAATCTTTTGAAAACCAGACTGAAAACCTGTTCATATCTTTGGTTTTGAATCCATTTGATCATCCGTCATATTTTGTGTCCTGTTATGACTGCATTCATTTTATTTTTATTTTTTTACTATTTTCAGTCTTACCCAACATTTGCTTTATAAATAAATGGGAATGAAGCAGAGTCACTCTGTTGCTGCAACAACAAAAAACATCTGGAAGTCCTCACCCTCACTTGCACGTTTAACTCAGGTGAGAAACCTAATCAGGACAGAACTAACATGCTGCGATTAGTTACCAGAACAGCAAGTGGGCTCACTGAACATAGAGTAACCACAGTATTAAAATACTACTTCAGCTGTACACTTCATGATTTGAATACATTTGTGTTTTGGTTTATTGCGTCGTGCCCAGATGTAACCACGCTGATGGTTTGAGCCTCGCTGTGGTGTAAACATCAACAGCAGCAGGAGAGGATGCAGGCAGAGGGGCTTTCTGCACAGAATCTGGACCACATGCACCCCGCTTCCACTCACGTTTTACTGGAGAGCATGAATCAGTCGTTGCAGAAACGTGGCATGATGGGAGATGTGGTCAAGGTGAATTCTTCTTATTCTGGAGCACAAAGCCACACCAGTGGACTCAGGCCTCACACCTTAGATGGGATGCCACTACTGCCACCCTGGACTCTGATACACCTCCACCCAAATAAACCACCATAACCTCGTTATGAACGCTTTGAGCATCCTCAAAACCACTGTGGACTGATTATGGGCCATTACACCAAATGGAAAGCCCACTGCCCTTAAAGTGCTCCTAATGACCCTCAATTATTGCTGGTTTGTCATCCAGTAAGGCCAAGGCTTTAGCCCCCATGCTGATGAAAAAGCAGCGACACAGCAGCATGACGGTTTCAGCCGCACACAAAAACACAGCAGGAAGGTCAAAGCAGAAATGATTACCTTAACTAATTCACAGAAATAAGGCCATGACACACTGTGCAGCAGAGCTGTGTGACAGTGGGGGGCTGCTTTTATGACCTAGAAAACTTTACAGCTGTGGAACAAAAGGTTAGGCCTGTCACAATAACAAATTTTGCTGGGCGATTAATTGTCTCAGAAATTATTGCGATAAACGATAATACCGTTTGAAATTTGACAATAATTAGTAATTATTGTCAAATTCAAGAAGAAATGTTTGTTAATTTGTTTTGAGTGTGGTACCCTTCTTCAACCAGCTTCTCAGCTTAGCTGCGTTTAACGATCCAAAAACGTGATTTTGGATCGTTAAAATGGATTTTAGAGAGAAGAGAAAGGGAGAGGTCAGTGAAGAACACCAGTCAAGCTTTTTGTCATCCAGTGTCTTCAGTAGAAAGAGAAACACAAAGAAACGATAAAGCTGATAAATGAAAATGAGGTTGTGAATTTTCATTTATCGTGCGATTAATTGTTTATTGTGACAGGTCTACAAAAGATTATCATATTTTCTCAAGACTTTGATGCTGGTTTAAGGTAGCATCTCACGGGGCTGTTGATTAGTCGGCGATTCAAAGGTGCAAAAAAACAGATTTTCTGTTACAGTCTCACTGTATCTGAAGCATTTGACTGGTCGACCAGCCAGGCGTGGAGCTGGCTAATGTTTGAAATGTCAGTTTGACAGATCATTTGCCGTCTTCGCTGTTCGGATTGAATCTGCTGGAGCAATGAATGTAGGCACATTGGGGCCAGACTTTTTTTTTAAATAATCATCATCTGCATGTTTTAAGAGCTACACCTTTTCTGTTAGAGCTTCAGTGGTTGGGGGAGAAGAAGAGACACCCCAATTTGAGAACAACTGGATTAAGTTCAGAATTTTTTTTTTTTTTTTTAATTAAGTGACCCTGTCAACAGGCTATTGGTTTATCTAGCTGCAATCTGATCGACCCCTAATTTTATTGTTGTACCCATTTTATTTATTTATTTATTCCACATCTGGCGTGGATTTTATCACTGTACACAGCCGAGTCATGTGCATTATTAAAAGACACAATCTGAGGCTGAGAGCTGGAGTTTGTATCTCCTGTGACTACAGCAAACTCTAAAATAAATGGTATGTTTATCACAGCAGGCTTTACTTGTCTCAAAGTTTTGTTTCCTCCAGACTGAACTGTAATAATAATGAATAATCGGAGTTCTATCACTCATATAATTAGTAATCTGGCTCATGAAGTGCTGAGTTAAAGATTAGTGGTGTTACCAATGACGTTACAGCCCAGCAGGATGTTACTACCATATTGTAATGATATTATCAGTGTGTGGTACTCACTAGCAGCGCTCATGACGTTCCTGCCCAGAGTGTTGGTGTTGTTGTCGCTGCTGCTGCGGCTCAGGTTCATGTTGTTTGTGGCGTTGGTGCGGGACATGTGGGGCGCACGGCGGACGAACGACTCCATCAGGCTGGCCTCCCGGGATGAAAGATTGGGCACGCTGGCACTGGAGCTCATGGGGGCACCGGCCGCCAGCAGGGAGCTGACGGACAGCCGTGAGTTCGTCGCCGAGCAGAGAGGCCTCTGGGAGTGCGTATCTTTACTGGACGACTCGGACACTGAGCTGACGTCGGGAGAGCTCACGCTCACCAGTCCCATGGAGATGGCCGTCGCCGGGTCGGTGTCAGCTGTTGTGGGGGAGTGGTGCTCGTCTCCGGTCGCAGTTGTGTCGGCGGTGAGCGTGCTGGAGCTGGACGCTGAACCGGATCCACCTTCTGCTGCAGAAGAGAGCACAACGATTGGCTCTGGCTGGTGTCCGTCACAGCCAATCCCTCCTCCTGTTACTCCTCCCACCCCAATGCCATGGTCCAGAAGCAGCCCCTCAGCCCTCCTGTCTAGCTGCAGACCCCCTACACCAGCCAGCCCCACAGAGGAGCTCAGACTTATATCAGAGGAGGAAGCCACGCTGCAGACAGAGCTGCTGCTTCCTTTCCTGCTGGAGGAGCTGGCCCCGCCTTTATCTGGACAGTTATTTTTCACTAGGCTGCTCCAGGAAGGCTGCTGGAAGGACGAGGAGGTGGAAGTTGTGGTGGTGGTGGTTCCGCCAATGGCCGCTGGTGTCACAGAGGGTCCCACCGTGGATGAGGCGGGACCTGAAACAGTGGATGAGATAGGTTTGGGTGATGGCGCTGTGGTAGCCGACTCAGGGTCGTACCCTGGAGCAAGCTTGAGGTCAAACTTCCCTTCAGCGCCCATACGGTAAGAGTTAGAGCCGCCAGCATCCCACGTTACATCAATCCAGCCTGGATGGACAGAGAGATAGGAGGGAGACGGACGGATGGATGTCAGAGACCCGGAAGAGAGGAAAAACACAGAGCGAGTGGCAGACAGGAGGCAGACAGCAGACAAGCAGCTTACATTCAGAACAGCTCGACTCTGTACCAATTTGGATCTCGATTTAAAAAGCACCTTTAAAATCATGATTACAAGCAAAAAATAAAATAAACATAAAAAATATAATTTTGATTGGTGACAAGTAGGGTCAGAAAATTTTAGGAAACTTCAGAAACTTTCCACAAGAAGTAAAGCTGCAGAATTTTAGAAATAGTTTAGAAGGGAAACTTTTCATGGGAATTTTGAGTCAACAGGAATTAGGGGGTAATTTAAACATACTGAAAAAACAAATTTTGTTTTGTTATGACAAAGTTCATGAAAGTAAGAAACTTGTTGTCTTAATTTGTATATGATGACTTCATTGTTTCACATACAAAACCTTTAGAGATCAAGGAATTTTATACATTTTAGCAACGTTTTGTTGTAATTCTTTTCTAAATACAGGCAGTCCCATCTGTCCCTCCATGTCCCGTCTGTCCCTCCATGTCCCGTCTGTCCCTCCATGTCCTGTCTGTCCCTACTTTTTTGGTTGCGGTACCTCTCGGTTCATGGCACAGCATTGAAATCTGGTTTAGTCTAAATTATGCTTAAATATAAATATATTTTCCCAAGCAATATGAATAAAAATCCCTGTTTAGGGTCAACCTTTAATATTTTAAACTCCAGGTATGTTCTCATTTATTCCCATGAAAAGTTTCAAACTATAAAAATTCTCAAAAAATTGCAGCTTTGGTGACAAGTAGCTCCACCACAGCGAAATTAGACCACTTATAATTTATAAAACATATCTGATGCACAAAGACAGACTGCGTTTTTAAAAACACTGGTTTTCATTTGCAGAATTACAAAAATTCACTTTTTAAAAAAGGAAAAATGTTGGGTGAACTTAAAGAATTTTGACAAGTGTAAAACTTGAATTACGTGCTGTTTGCTTCTTTTATTTACTTGTGCAACATGAAGCTCTTTATGTTTTATATTTCCAGTGACTCGGAGGAAAGTTCAGGACAGTCACGCACACAAAAATAGATAAAACAGTAAAAGCAAGAGTAGAAAAAATGACAAGCGCAAAAAATAAAATAAACCACAGACATGAAAGGAATAAATTTAGAGTGTGACAACATTAACAATGATGGATTAATGTCCTGATGGTGGCGTTTATGGGCAAAGCTCAGGAACAGAAGGTAAAGTTTGAAAAGAGCAGGAACAAAGTGGACAACAGATCCAGAGAAGGAGAAGGGGGAGGTAAATGTTCTAGACTGAAAACAAGCAGCTCTGTTTAAAATTCCTTTTTGTCCTTAAATATTTAGGTTTTTTTTTTTATTCAATTTAGGTCATAAACAGATCTCTCTTGAAATTGAGACTACCTGTATAAATAAAGGTTAAATAAAATCAAAAATTGTACCCCTCACTTTGTTTTAAACCCTAAATTCCAGATTAAAATCTTAAATAAAAGCCACCCCAGCTAACAAAAACAAAACCGATTTAGAAGATTCCACAGCTTGAATGCAGTAAATCATTCTATTGTCCACCTACTCTACACCTTGAATTTAAAGGAGAACCGGAGGAGCAGAACCAAACTAAAAGGTCCACGTTGTAAAAAATATTCAGCTTTTTATGCGAGAGGATTAAAGAAAATCACAAATCTCCTGGTTTTAGCCAATCTGAACTTATTTCTTGTGGAGTAGAAGCAACGTGCACACAGATCGGACTGTAGCCACTTTAATATCCTGCTGAGGCTGATAAAACAGAAAAGGCCTGTTTGATTCTTTATAACTGATTTCATGTTTCAGTCGCCAATTCAAAAATATTACCAGTAAGTCCAAACCAGGAAGTTGAAACCAAAACAAGTACCCCCAGTAAGATGGCTGCCCTTTTGTACTTGACTAAAGCCAGTGTCTTGCTGGGTTGACTGGAGCCTAGTTTGCATTTGCAGAGGAGTCTCCAAAATGTCTCCTCGTGTCTTGCCACTGAATTCTGAATACGCTCAAAAGGTTAGAGCATCAAATGTTCATTCAAAATATTCCCAGAGCCATTAAGTGTTTCAAAGCCATCACAAGTTTGTTTCTGTACATTCTGTATCATTAGAGATGTAGAGCTGTATTTTAACTTCTGCAGAAGCTCTCATGATGGATAAAATCTGAGGCTACAGCCAGAAATGTCCAGGGCTCAATGATAATTATGAAATTAAATCATAAACATGGGGAGGCTGAAGAGGTGGGTACAAAACAAGCCGATTTGGATAAGACGTGGGTAAATGTGTGTAATGAAATACTCTGCACGGCCTTGAATACAGTTTGGCAAGCACGTGAAAATAAGCCGTAATTCTCACAAACTATGGCTCGCTGGTCACAAACACTCAGTTCAGGAAATCTGCATGAAAAAAATTTGCCTGTTTTCTTGGGCAAATTTGAGAATGTGATGAAGTTTCAGTGAGCTTAGCTGTTGTCCTAAGAACTTTGAAGAGCTTCTGAAACCAACCATTAAGCTCAATGTAAACCAGGATGAGGAGGATAAAGCTCTCAGGTCTCAAGGATTATTCTGCAAGCACGACAACCCCAGGACAAAACTGTTGAAGTGAAGGTAGGAAGTGGACGAGCATGAAAATGGTTGGACATACTGCAATAAAGTTTGCCAATACATAGAAAAATAAAATGTACTTAAAAGAGGCAACATTCTTACTTGCATTTAGAGTCTAAACCTTTGAACAGAATCAAAAATGTGTTAAAAGATGAATAAACTTGACTACAGAGTAAACCTACTATGTCACCATGAAGCTACACCACATCTGACATCAACAGGGTCAAAGGTCATGTGTAGGAGGGAATCAGGAGACGGTGGTAAATGCAAACATGTTCAGTGAACAGCTGGGTTAAAATAGATTTTTCCAGATGTGGTTTAAAGATGCGCCAGAGAAAAAAGGTTTAAATATTTGCTGCACACATTTCAGGCCCATGAGGACAGAAACAAGGAGCAGCACTGCTGTTTAAGAAGCTTAAAATAAAAATACAAAAATTACAAATTTACAAACTCAACTGCTGTACTTTAAATGGAATGAACGGAACATTATGTGTTTAGGGTTTCTTCTTTTCTTACCGTTGTGAGCCTCCCCGGTGACCGTGCCCTCTCCTGGTGGATTCCCGTCCTGGTCTCGCCACTTCCAGTCAATCCCTCGCACGACCCGCGCCCCCGGCACGATGTACTTCATGACCTGGGAGCGGAACAGACGGCGCTGACGACGAAGATTCGCCTCTGCCTCTTTCACAGCTTTACCTGAAGGACAGAGAGAGAGACGATCAAGGCCTGCCTCGTCCACTGTCGCTCCAGTCTCTTCTAGTGAAGACGGAGCTGATAATATCGATTCACTGGTTCAATCCTCAGCTTTGGTCAAGAACAAAAATCAATAATCAGATTGTGGACACGAGTAATTGACGAGCTTCCTGCGTAAGGTGGCCGGGCTCAGCCTCGTCCCCGTCTCACGAAGTCGTGGCTGTTGGGAGACGCTGGTAATAAAAACCTCGCAATTACGGGAAATTTGCCCCCCCAAAAAATCCACGACCTTCACTGAACTCAGCATTTTCTTCCAAGTGACCGACGAGCCATGTGGCTGCACTCTGAGCAGTTTTTTTTTTTCTAAACTGCAACTTATTTTTGTGTTCACGGCTCATAAAGCTGTATTCTTAGCTGTGCGAATCAGCAGAATTAATTTGTACGTCATTGTTATGACTGATTTTATTGTTGCTCAGTTGGTCTAGTTTATCCTTATGTGTGAATCTAGATCCATCCTAAAAGGTGAAACCTGAGACCTTCTCCAACAGTGGTATTTTATTAATTTGACAAAGATGGCTTCCTTTACCCCTCTCTTAAACATTTATATTTTCTGTCCAAAAATACAACTTTACTAATCCCTAAAGCATGCCCATAATCCCTGAGATGTAGGGAGATAACTTCCCTTCAGACTGAAGTGTTTTCTCACCTAACTGGTCCTCACAAACAGCAGTGACTGTGCCGTACAGCTCGAGTCCAGACAGAGACAGGTAGTGGGTCTGACCGCTGGCGTTCTTCCCCATCTGTTTAATCCTGATATGTCTCCAGCCCTGCTTCTCATCTTTGGACGGGTCCAGAGGCCACGTGGCAGTCGAGCTGTGAACACAGACCTGTGTTAAAACTCACTAAATATTCATTTATAAACATGGATCTGAATTAAAGATTAGAGACTGTACCCTGGCTCATTGAGACTGCCATCATCTATATGGGTGTAGAGAGTGGACCAGTTCTGACCATCCTTTGACACCTGAAAAACCCAGTTTCTCAATGCAGAGCGACCATAACCCCTGAAGGAGGAGGAAGCAAAAAAAGAATGTGCAAAAAGATTATTTTCATGTTTCAAATAATAACTCTTTCTAATAAAAGGTCAAACGAGGCTCTGGTGTGTGATTTATACCTCGCATGTCTCAGAGTGTACGCCGACGGAATGACCCAGAGTCCGAGGTCGACAGCGAACCACGCGTTCTTGTCATCGTTGGTGTGGCAGTTGAGGGCGGAGCTATCTCGACTCAGGATGTCCTCCAGCCGCCCGTACGGGAGGCTACGCCCCTCTGAAGAGGTCACCACCACCAGGCCATAAGCTGCGGGATTCACCCACTCATAGGCCGTCCTGAGGGGAAGAAAACTCAGATCGAACCTGAACATCTAACAGTTTACATCACGTCTTCACTAAACACTCTTACTGAAGCCAGTATTTCACCTCGCTGCTGAAGTTTGGGGAGTAGCTGGTGACTAAAATTGTGAAAAATAATAATTTCAGTTGCAGTCTGATTGGACTCAAGACTCATTTGCACGTCACACAAATGGTTCGCAAACTCCCAGTGTCAATTCATCAGGAATTTGTAGTTTACAGAAAATGCCTCAAGAATGCCCCATGATGCAACAAATTTACGGTTTTATTTAATTAAATAGCAACAGCCATCCAACTGTGGCATGAATGCTGTGCTTCCTGGGGCACCTAATTATGCAACAACAGGGAAATAGATTAGCTGAGACAGATGGCCGCTCATCCTGAGCCTCGATCAGGTTCTGCTGGACTCTTTCCCTTCTACTGTGACAATCTTCACAACCTAAGCTGATCCGACAACCTACTGGCTTCCTAAAATCTGAACCAGTCACATTGGACCTTTTCTTAGCTCAACATTTACTTATCAGACATCAATAAGCATCAGAGCTCAGAAGTTCAGGGACCTCTTGTAGCAAACTGGCTTAAGACAAGCAATACAGACAGAAAATGCTTAATGACATAACATTTTAAATCTCCACATTGTTTCCTAAAAGTATTCAGCCTAAACAGTCAAATACTAAGTTTCATATCTGGTTGCAGTCTCTGGTCTTACTTGGCGTTGGTTCCAACCCAGTAGATGATGCCGTTCTCATCGAAGTCGTGTTGATGTCTGAATATGAAGCTCTGTCCTTCTCTCAGTTTCCTCACAAAAACGAACGATGAGCGCTCAAAGTCGTACCACTGCTTTGCTACCTGGACGAGGAAGCGGAGGAGAGAAAAGTTTAAGTATATTAGTTGAACAAAAGAGGTTCTTTCCCCCCCAGCTTTTCAGTTTACCATCTTCAGAAGGTACTGCTCCAGAGACTCCACGGTAGCCAGAGGTTCCATCTTCAACATGCGACCTGTCCGGTCGATCAGAGCCGTCTCCCCCGGCGCTCGCTCCAGACGGAATCGCAGCCGCCTCGTCAAAATCTGTAACATCGGCAGTTGTGAGAATACATGAAGGCTTGAGTGAAAATCAAAGATCAGGAGGACAGTGACTCACCTGCAGGTTGTACGAGGATCCTGGGGTGTCGTAAAGATGCAGAGGTAGACGTTCAATCGACTCCAGGACAGCTATCAGTTTCCGGACTAAGGCAACAGCTGGTCGGCTGCACATATAAAAACACACAGAACTCATCACCAGCTGTAATCATTCTGTTTAACCCAGAACAGATAGATTAATAAAAACAAACTGAATGAAAAGATGTTACCCAACATGTCCAAGTTCATTTTAATTACCTTTCATTATCTTCGTTCTCGCTGAAAGCTGCCTTAAAGACATTGATCCTCTCCATTAAAGGCTTACAGTCATGCTTCACATCCAGTTCTGCGCTCTGCAGGATTACAACAACAACAACAAAAATTTAGATCACAATTATAGGCTCTGGAAAGACCGTACCACACTACGCTCATATCATGTTAAAAGATAGTGAGCAACAAACAAAGCAACAGCTTTGATCTACAGTCCAGATTTACCTCAAAGATAATAATAAAAAAAAAAGAGGTTCTCCTATGCACGCTAGTTTGCAGGAAATAATACTGATGCTTCATTATTGTACCAGATCTTTTAAAGAACAAGTATTGTTGGACACCTCAGGGTTCTGAGAGGTGTTCCCTGAAAAAACCTGCCTCAGTGTCTGTGGGGGAGAGGACGGACTCCAGAAACCATCAGACAACCATCAAACTGGTTGACCCACTATGTGAAGATGCTGTTTATAAGACTGAGTTTGTTGCAGCTCCTCGGACTGATGAAGTCTTATAAATGAAAAACGAAACATCTGAACAAAAAGAAACCGTCCAGAGGACCTGACTTCACTTTGATGGTTCTGTCTAAAAGTTTCTGAAGAGATAAAATGTGAATCTCCCGTTTGACATCTGATAGCTGTTAAAACAATGACTAGTTGAGGGTCATTTGTGACGCAGTATAAACAAACTGTGTGGTTCTGGTGCCAGATTATAATCAATTCGTGGACTCCTGGTGTCTACAGTAAAGAGGGCAACTCCCTGTCTTCATCCAAGAGTGTCGAGACAAGGAGATGCAGAAATCTGCAGAGAGAGCTACTAAGATAAAAAGCGGGCAGTAGCTCCAGCTGGCCCCCAGGCCTCTGTCACAAACAGCAGAGCCGTTTCAGAGGACTAGCTGCTCTTAAAGCCACTTTGAATAAAATCAAAGAAGCACTTAGGGGGGTGGGATCGTCTCGCAGCGTGACAAAGTAGGAACCAATGACACGAGTTCCCAGAGATCCTGTACAGCAAAACACAAAGATAAAGCTGCAACTCTGCTCGTATAACTCGGGCCAAACCTCGAGGGTAACGACCTGCTGCTCAAGACAACCACAGATCTGAAACTGTGACATGCAGATGGATATTATCCTTTTGGACAAGGATACACTTTATTTATTTCGACAAACTGACATTCTTAGAGACGTCTTTGGACACGACGCAGGCCCTGCAGCTGGACACATCACCGAGTCGAGCCAACGGGACAGAAACAGTTTGGAATCGCTTATTTTCTGCAGGGAAAGTTACTCTCAACCTCTACAACTACCTACCAGTAGTTTTGAGGTGGTGCTTGTTTTGGTGCCTGGCTCATAAGTAATACCATCTTTTTCTAAAAATTTAAACTGCCTGTCAGGAAAGATAACATTTTCTGTCCAGTCTGAAACTGAAGATGAACTTTTAAAATAGTTTGATAATCATAGATTTTATACCAGACAAGTACCGTATTTTCCGCCGTACCCTTAGCATCGCCCACTAAGTCGCATCAGTCCAAATATGTCTAAATAAATGGAAAAATCCATAAATATGTCACTTTGCCGAAGTGTATATGTCGCATCTGTTATGCGTCACCGCTGACACGTCGCGTTTGTTATATGGGCCGGTGTTGTGCCAAAAAACGATGAGCTGCCAAATGGCGGCTGTGGGAGCGTGCACAGGAGGACTTTAACAAGAATTTAACAAGATTTACACTTAAAAACAATTATTTGTTTGCTCGAAATTATAGTAAAGGTGTGTCTCAGTCTACCCTTTTCTCAATAAATGCACTTTGACAGTCAACTCATCTGTATTTTAAAACCCGATTCGCGGAAGCGGAGGACACGCGCAGAGGGACGAGCCTCTGCATTTCTTCAGAATTTAACAAGATAACCACCTAAAAACAATTATTTGTTGGCGCAAAATTATATTAAAAGGTGTGTCTCAGTCTAACGTTTGCTTAATAAAAGGACTAACTGTCAAACAGCTGTATTTGCTGCCTCGGTGCTCTGGGAGTGCGCAGAGGGAGGAAAAAAGGAAGGAGGAGCGCTGCTTGTTTCTTCGAAATTTAACAAGAAAAAGCACCTCAAACAATTATTTGTATGGTTTAAATTATAGCAAATGTGCGTCTCAGTTGAACTTTTACTTAATAAAATGCACTTTAAATGGTCAAATTAGCTGCATTTCACCGGGGCGGTGGAGCAAAATGAAACTGGTTTGATGGTTGCTCCAAGCAGATTATGGCAAGCCGATTGCGTCATTAATAGCTGGTGAAGATTCTCAGTCATCCAGGACATGGTCAATTCAAAAAAGGTCAAGACAAAAACAATAAAGTATAATAAAGTCCAGTGGTTTTTGTCTTGAACTTTTTGGAATTTGTCATTATAGCCACGCTTACCTATTACGTGATACAACGGCATGCCTTACAGCTACTACTAATCTGTTGCCATCTAGTGGCTGAAAATGGTACTGCTCATTTTTTCCCCAGTCAGAATGAATGAAAACAGTCATCTAAGCCAAAAATTGGTTTATAAATATGGGAAAAAAAATCCATAAATATGTCGCTTCAGCCTACAGGGATGTAAATTATGCAACAAAAAAAAAAAAAAGACTTATAGGCTGAAAAATACAGTATTTATTTTTTGCTGTTGAATTTTGTACTCAAAAATCACACAAACAAAAACAAGATGGATGTTTTGAGTTACATATGTATTTACAGGAACTTATTTTACGCGGTGTAACTTTACTTCAGTTTACGGTCATTTGTTTTTCTCTGCTGAGCTTTTCTAGCATTTATAGTAACTCATTTCAAGTGGCACAGCTTTTCTTTAGGGTAACTTATCGAAGGCATTATTTGAGGGTTTAGATACTCACATTGCTGAGGGCCGTGAACAGAGCCTGGACAAGGCCGCTGCTGCACATTTCATACGGTGAAATCGTGTTTTCATCCTTCAAAACTACAATCATGTTCTCCAGAGCGGTTTTCATCAAGTCCCTCCACGTGTTCTCCACTTCAAGACACTGCCAGGGTCACAAGCACAAATATTTTCTCTTTATTACTGCAGTAATTGTGCCCAGGTCTGTCTCTGTGAATGTTTCCGTACCTGTCGGTTGGTGTGCAGCTCCCAGGCTGACTCCAGCTGCGTGGAGATGTTTCTCAGGGTGACCACCACACCTCTGGGCATGCTCTCCACAGCTTTGAAGTGGTCGTCGTACAGTTCCCTCGCCATGCTCTTCACCTTCTGCTTCGTCTTCTCTAGCTTTGACTTCAGCTTCCTGCCTCGCTTCCCGGTCCAGCCCGTCACGAACTCAGAGCCTGTTCCAAGACAAGTTTGGTTAAAAGGAGATCGTCTCCTTTCCCTGAATTATTTCTGCATCCCGACACCCACCCAGTGAGGTCTCTGCGGTGAACGAGTGTTTGGTTCCTCTGTTCGACTCGAACACAAAGCCGGGCAGGTCCTCCTTCAGGATGGTGGCCTGCTGCCCGTCGGAGTTGTGGATGGCGATCTCTCCCTCTTTTAGACACGTTAGAGACCAGTTGCCGACTGTCAGCTTTGTGGGACTGACGATGGAGAGGATGGGCTGACTGGTTGTTACTGGTTTCACCTGGCTTCTCGCCCGCTGCAGCTTCTCCAAGAACTCGCTGCGAGACTCTGCAGAACCCAAGACGAACCACTCATTAAAACCAGAACCATCAGATTATATTTTAGATGCATCAGAGCTGACCTGCAGGTCCATCTAGAACTGCAGAGGAAACTCTAGTTTAGATTCCTCAGCAGGATCAGACAAAAGGCTGGGTTCTGATTGACCCCGGATTATAAAAACATCCAAATTCTGAATGAATGTTTGAACAGATTTGATGGAAAAGAGAATAAAAACAGCTGAATGAATCCTGCTCAAATGAGCTTGGTGATTTTGGCAGCACTTTTACCCAAGTGAGCATCTTTACTCTGTAACTGTTTAATAAAAACTTCAACATAACTCCAGTTTCAAACACTGATAAATGTGTGGCCATGAAAAGTTCCAAGAGGTCTAAACGAAGGCCTGCAGACCAGAAGTGGTCCTTGCTGCTCCAGAATTTAAAACCAGTCTGTGATAGACTGAGTCAGGGTCATTTTGTTTAAAACCTTAGCATACGTCATGAGGCTTGAATGTACACTTTTATTGATCTATTTTCATTTACTGGCTTGTGTTTTCATGTAATTTCAGAGTAGAACTTCTAAAACTTCAGGTTTGGTGTTTGTGGACCCCCCCCCCGGCTTCAGATCAGTAACTACAACACACCTGAGCTGTCCGAACCGCCCTCCGGGCTCCCGCTGGAGTACATGGTGGCCAACTTCCCGTCGAGGATGAACCTGAACCATCCGTTGGAGCCGTTGGAGAGCTCGAGAGCTGCCGCGTCTGACCAGATGTAGAGACAGTCCCTGCCTCTGATGATGGACCAGTCCTTCCAGTGGTACGGCTTACCCTGATGGACTTCCTTAGCGTCCTCCTGCACGTCGTCCTCCTGCAGAAGAACCAACAAACGATGTTTTGTTAGATGCTTTTTAATCATGTTTTAAAATGCAGACAAAAATTAATTTAGTATTTCTCATAAATGCCAAATATTTGTTACTGAGATTTACTATTTTACAAATTGCCAAACTGAAAAAAAGAAGAACTTTGATGCTTCTGTAAAAACCCAGTGTCCAAGACACTGTATCCACTCCCCCCCCCCGATAACTTACTGATGTATGAGTGATCTGTAAGAGGGCTGAATATGTAAAACGTATAAAGGAATGTGTGTAAATGAGAAACATTAATCGTTTTGCAGAACCTGGGTGGGGTTGAAAAGGTACTGCCGACGTGCAATTACCTTGTCAGGTTTTGCCTCGTCCTCGTTCTCGTCGTCAGACACCGGTCCAGCCAGAGTTGACACCTTGTTGATGACACCCAGTCGAGCCAGCTGGTCGAGGAAAACATCTCCACCTTTATCTACAAGATCCCTGATGATCTGCAGAGCCAGGAGGTGGCCGTCGTCATCATCCTGACGGATAAGGAACAAGAAAGGCCATAAATGTGTCGTCTCGTGCGCTTTTTCTTCAGTCCCGATACTGAAACACTGTGCACAGGAGAGATTTCTTTGTTGCAAAATAAGTACTCCATGGTTGTGGATTTTTATTAATACATTTCATGCGAACAAAGCTGGAATACATCAATAACCACAACTTAGTCTACTTTGCCAGAACCCAATTTAAACCCTGTATACGTCGACACACTTCTCATTGGTTCATTAAAGAGTACCTCTTGGTCAAGGACAGTGGCGGTGATCTCTACCAGGACCGTGGGCAGGTTATGTCCCGTCTCGCTGTCACACACCTCCCTCAGCAGAACTTCACTGCTGTAGTGAACCATCTTTCTGATCAGAGCCAGGCTGGCTTTCCTAAAAAAAATAAAATGAACCCACAATGCATGACCAAGTTATCAGTGCGTTTTCTAGAAATAAATCAAAATCATCGGTGAGAAAAGTAATTTACCTAATAGAAGGCAGCATCGTATGCTGGAAAGTTTGTGCAAAAACAGGGAGAAGTCTCTTCAAGTATAAAGGAGCCATTTCTGGGTCTCCTTTAGGCTCGCTGCCCTCCTCCTCCTCCTTGCTGGCGTCTTTCTTTCTCTTGTCATCGCTCTTGTTCACTGGACACATCCAGTCTCCTGAAACAAACAGGTTAAATTGTTTTGTTTTTTTTACTTTGGAAACCAAACGGAGTCACCCCAACACATTACTAGAATGCCAACAGACCACTCAAGATCCTTGTTTAAAACTTTAATACGCAGGATGGCAGGTCAACCAGGCATGAGTTACTAGTATTGGTTAACTAACTGACCTGGTGACTGCAGTATAGCCACAACTTCACTGTGTCCTCTCTCCCTGGCTTTGTCCAGAGGTGTCTTTCCGTCCTCGTCTCTCAGGTCCGGGTTAGCTCCGTGCCGCAGCAGGGTCTGTCCACACGTACACAAAATGCACACGTTACCAAGGAAACTAAATATGTAGCCAAGTTTTAAAAAATAATGAATAAACATTGCACCAAGTGAGGAACATTTAAGTCAAAATATAACGGGAGGAAATTTTATTTTAATCTAATCAGACGCTCCAGTGCAGCTTACCTTGGCTACCTGTGGACGTCCAAAACAGGCAGCGTAGTGTAGCGAGGACGACCTCTGACCTCTGTTGACATCAGCACCCCGCTCACATAGAAACTCCACCTGGAACAACAAGCACCCGTTGATTCAGACTTAAAAGGAGAAACAGAAATGGATTTGAGTAGCAGGTGTATAAACAACAAATAGTTTGTTTTAGAGAAACACTGGTGCCTAAGTTTCTGTAAAAGGATAAAAAAATGACAAATTTATTGTTGTTTATCATATTGTCAGTGGTTTATTTTCCTACCGAGGCACAAAAACATACAAATTAATAAATCTAGAATATAAACTACTTGATTCAAAAGTTAATTATCCAACTTAAAAGTTGGATAATTTAGGCCAGTTAAAACGTTTTCAATGAATGTGAAAAACTCCCAATGTAATTATGGGTTATGTTATATTATTATTACATAATAATGTAATGTGGGGGAAGAAAATATATATATTTTTTTTTACTTAAACAATTTCTGTATGATTTTTTGTTTTACCATCTCCTGTGTGCCAAAAGCTGAAGCCCAGTTGAGCAGCGTTTGTCCAACATCATCCATGAAGTTCACCTCAAAAGCTGTAGGAAAACAACACAAAGACGGACATTATCTCTCGACAGATATGAGGAGGACATTGTTATTAACCAAATGTTGTTAATAAAGTTAATTAAAGCTTAACATGGTCGGTGAAAAAGCAATATGCTGCATTTACCAGGCTTAACGTCTGATTACACAACTAAAGATTTCAGCCTGATCTTTTAATTGGTGCTTTTAGTGAAACTGAGATCCAGGGGGGTTCACGATCAGAAGGAGGACTCGATGGTTTAATTTTCCCCGCTGACGTTTATATATTTTTTTCCTTTTGAGTTATTAGAACTAAACCACCACAACAGAGATCTTATCTGAACCGAGCCTATTAAATATAAAAAGTAAAGGCGTCTTGGAGAGGAATTAGCAGGAAGAATGTCACTCGTTTTCTGCAGCTCAGCACAAAAAGTCTAAATATTCAAATCAGACTTGCGGCTGGAGGCTCTACAACAGAACTGCAGTGAGAGACAAGTCTGGAATCACTCCTCTGGCTCCATTTTGAGAAAACAAGTCATTGAAGCAGATTTTTAAAAAAATATTTAGCTTAGACTTTAAATTACAGATCTTGGTCATTTAAAATGACAAATCAAACACCTGCTGCTAGCTGCTTGTAAAAAGTGAATTTAAGAAATTTGTTGTACATTTTTGGTAGTTTACTAGTTTAGTTCAGGAGAGTAGACCTAAATTAGCAGAGTGTAGATCATTTTGAGTGTAAAACAGTAAAAAGTAAAACAATCCGATATGTATTTCTGCTCATCTGTTACTGGGTCTTTAAGCAGATAACTAAAAGGAAAGCTGAGTGATGAATTATGAAATTAGCTCAAAGGAAGTTGTTAAAATTAAAAAGTACCAGAATATAAGCTAAAAGATACAGAAGAAAAAGGCTTCAGTTGTAAACGGTTGTAAAACCTACCAGCTAGCGGCTGGCTGCAAAAAACCTAAAAGTTGCTAAATGCTAGTACTAGTAGAAAGCTAGCTAAAAACAACAAACAGGAAAAACAACTGCTAAAATAAATAAATAAAAAGTAAAATCTTAAGAAAAGTTACAAAAACCTAAACTCAAAGGACTCATCTGAACATTTTGGTGAATAAAAATTCAGTGAATGATGAATTCACACAAAAAATTCATACACAAAGTTTTTGCTGCAGTTGTCGTGTTTTGATACTACACCAGAGAGGCTCATGGGTAGCGCAGTTTTATTCCCCTCACCTCCAGTATCGATGGCGTCGATCAGAGCATCGGTGTCCTTGCTGCGGATACAGTCGATCAGCTGTCGGTGTGACCTCTCTCCTGAGCTGTCCAGACGTCGCAGGCCGGGGATTCGACCCGCCGACCCCGCTGTGGACTTTGGCAACGCCTTCCGACCCTCGAACAGGAGCACCAGCAGGAGATCCACCAGCCGCATGGTGTCGAGCACGCAGCGCTCATCTCCCCCCAGTGCAGACTCCATTGAGTCGGGCAGAGCCGAACGCAGCAAGTCCTGAACATGAGAAAGACGTTGGTACAAACCGGACAACAAAAAGAACCGATGATTTTCTGTTTTCGTAGAGTGGACCTACATGTGTGACCAGCGGTGACCCTCGGCACAGAGTGGACAGCAGGCTGACTATGGTCGACACCTGGTTGCTCAGTTTGGAGTCCGCAGCAGAGGGGGTGGCTCCGGTGGAAGGTCGACCCGGCTTACAAGAGGAGGTAGAACCCGATACTGTGCCACCAGCGGCCGCCATGCGGGACAACAGCTCCTCTGTCAGGCCATGTTTAGCTAAAGGGGCGGGGTCTACCCCTCGGCGTGTGAAGCGATCAGCCAAAGAGGCGAAGCAGCGCAAAGCCCCGTCTGACACCTGAACGAAAGGAGGGAGTCAAGTTTAACTAAATTATGAATAAAAAGAAAATACTTTTTTTTTTATTACAGTCACACACAACAGTTACTGTACATCCAAACACTAAACACAATAACTTGTCCTGATGCATGCTCAGTAATCCAGGTAGAAAAATATAACAAAGAGTAAATGTGTCCAGAGGACCTGACTTAGCTTTGTTGAAACATTTTGTCTTTTATCAAAAAGACTTCTTCAGTCTGAGGCAACAAACTCATAAACATCACCTCCTCACTGCGGATCAACCAGTTTGCTGCTGACAGCCAGAACTACCGGTAGCTATTCACATGTTAAAGGACAATCATCCTAACAATTGCTAATTAGTGTCCCGATGGCCGCTTGTTATTCACTGAGGGCTGAGTGATACCGTCAATAACAGCATTGTAAGAGGGGGATGGTTGAACACGGAGACCCCCACACGTTTAATGACGGATGGGTTCTCTTCACAAAGATGGCTTCCTTCACTCTAAGAATCAAGAATGTGCACATCTTCATCCCAGAAAGAGCAACCACTGGCCTACATGTGAAATGCTAGTTCTGTCTGTCAGCAGCAAACCAGTTGATCCACTGTGAGAAGGTGCTATTTATGACTGAGGCCCCGTTTACACAACGTGTTTTTTTGAGTGAAACCGCAGCCTTCCTGCTGAGGTTTGGCTGTTCATTTACACGACAATAGTCCTCGTTCTCTCTGAAACCGATCCATGTCTCAGAATGAAGATTTTCAAGTGAACCCCTCACTGAGGTGCAAAATGTTCCACATGAAGTCACACATGCGCACTACAGGCGGCTGCAGTGTTTCCGTACGAACAGTTTCAATAAATGGCAGAGAGCAGAGTGTTTGTTGTGCAACTCACCCTTTTTCAGTCTCTAAGAGCAAAACTAATAAAATCCAGGGTCCAAAGAGACGTTTGTGTGTTCACCAGTTTAACTGTGATCATGCAGACACTGCATGCCCGATGAATACAGCTGAGCCCAGCATCAGGGTTGCCAGATAAATTTAAAATGTCTTATTTACCCCCCTCCTTTTATATTTGCATGTTCACCGGACATCATACACCTCATATTACAACACACTTACTCAACAAATATGAGTTTAGGTCAAAATACAAATATTAGGTAAAAAATTTAAAGCGACGGTACAATTGTTCGTAATTTTTTATCTGGCAACCCGACTGACACGTAAACTACAGCGTTTTCGTGTAAACCCGTTCTTTTTTTATTTATTACCCCCAATAAACACAGAAAAAAAAAAAACTAGCGTTTCCAGAGGTTGTTCTCGTGTAAACAGGGCCAGAGTTTGTTGCAGCGCCTCAGACTGAAGGTCTTTGGACAAAAGACAAAATGTTTCAACAAGAAGAATCCGTCCATTGGACCCGACTTAACCTTGTTAGACAATAACAACTTGTAGTGAACATCTACCAGTTTTTACAGGTGAAGTTTCAAAACAAAAACTGCAGCAGCTAGATAATGAGTTAAGCAGCTGAAAGCAGTACAACAACAAATTACTGGCTTTTAGGAGACTTCTACACCTGCTGTGACGTTACCTGGTGGTCTTCATGTTTGAGAAGACTGGACAAAGACTCAACGCAGGTCTCCAGAGACGAGTCTTGAGGCTCCATCTTGCTGCAGAGGCGAGAGACGACGGCCATGGCAGAGTGTAGTGTGTCTTTGTGGACCAGGTGGCCGCTATCTCTAATGAAACTCAACACACAGTTCAGACCTCCAGCCTCAAAGACCGCACCAGACTCTCTGGTACAGATCAGCTCCAGCACCTGCACGTAAAAGAATAGGTTAAAACCTAAATTTGCACCCCCATTTTGGAGAGGTCACATGTCCTCCTAATGACCAGTTACCTTCACACACTGCTCAGCCAGGTCTCTGCTGGTCCTGTTGTTTAGCTCCACCACCACCAAACGGTTGCACAGCGCCTTGATGGCCCCGTCCACCCCCACAATCCTTCGGGTACACTCAGCCGACACATCCAGGTAGTATGTGATTGCTCGAGCCGTTACCTCCAGCACATTATCTGGAGCGCTCTCATCCAGGAAGATCTTACAGAGTGCTGGGAGGAATGTCCGAGGGGGACACCTGATAAGACGAGGACGGATTGGTCTGAGCTCTGGGGTTGCACTTTACCAGCGGAATATGATTACTTGGATAAAGCGATAAAAACTCACGTCTCAAAGCAGCGGTCCACGTTGTCAGACATGAGCAGCAACATGCACAGCTGCTCCAGGGCGATGAGCTGCATGTCGCGCTCATCGCCCTGACCCATCTGTAGCCATTCCAGCAAGGTGTCTGGGTCCACATCGGCCATGATGGCTAGCCTAAAGACATAAGCACACACAAAAACTATGGTTTGATAACAAGACGTGACCTAAAATAAAACCCGCAGATTTCTACATTGCTGCAAGCTAACTTTGAAAGAGGCTATGTTCTGACTTATTCTGGTCATGGCTGGAGAATCCAGAGGGACAACTCAGGTTGGAGACAGAATAAAAATAAATAAATAAATAAATAAATAAATAAAAGGCTTTGAAACTGTCCAGGGGGACAATGGACATATTCAATCAAGGATGTTAAATATGGAGCTGACAGGAAGCAGATAAACAAAACTACAAAGGAGGTTCATGGATGGGGTGAAGGAGGATCTGCAGAGGTTTGGTGGAACACAGGAGGATGCTGGGAGATGGAGGCTGATTAACTGCTGCAGAGAAAACTGAGGGGAGCAGCTGAAAGATTTAGATCCCTCCAACACAAGAAACTTTTAATATTTTCTATTATTTTTCCATATAAATACATTAAGTACAGTTGAGCTCGTATCCTGCTTCCTTCGGCTCGCGTTCATCTCCTTTCAGCTCAAGTTTTGCGTCTTTAAGATTTAACAACTTAATCACAGCTTCTTTTAAACTTCAGCTGTCATGAAGTGCTCAATGTTCACACTACTTTTAAGAAAATGTCATTTATCCTATTTTAAATTAGTTTAACGGTTACTTAAAAATATGTATAAAAACTAATTAAAATTAAACAAAGACCTTTATTTAGTTTTTTAATAAAGCCTCACCTGGCTCCCCTGTTGGCTGCCCTGTCTGGCTCTGTGTCGGCTCACTGTTCGGTACTCATCCAATCAACCGGGTGGAGGGAGAGGACGACACTTCTGGAAGATTTGGGTCCGGGCCGTAAATCAGGTTTCTGGGAGGAATATCAGCAAACAAAATTTTTAAAAAAAAAGGACCAGCACATAAGCTGCAGAACAAGCACAAAAAACAAGTCTTTGAATACTTTGACAGCATGACGGATGAAGTTCCTACAACACTTTATGATGATGAATAGTTTTGTGACAGCGGTTTTTTGTGCTTGTACAGAGTGTACATGCATCATTTCACCGTGACACAAAGAGAACACTACGGTCCCCACCAACATGCAGCATACAGCAACATGTAGCGTTTTCTCTTGATAAAACTGAAAACAGCCAACATTTAGTTTAAAACTGTGAGTACAGTCAATACAAATATAATTCAGCCACAAACTGACAGCATTACTTTTTTTATTTCACGGCTTCTGATCAACAACACCTGGTGGGAAAAAAGCATCAACTGTGAGCAACTCCGCCACACAGCTGATAGCGTTGGGTCCAGTAAACTTTCCACAAAGTCCAGCTAATAATAGTTGTGGTGGAGTTCACTGAAACCAAGCTGCCGACTTCCTCTGAATCCATGACTGGACAGAGACGATGTCTTAATCTGAAGCACTAAGCGACACACAGGATAATCTGAACCATCTGCTAGAAAAGAAGAATTGCAATAATTAAAGTTATATTAATAAACTTAAGATCAAGCCTCACAAACAAGCCCAAAAATGAAGAAAGTAAATTCTTCATTTAACTAAACATGTATTTTAGCACTGGGGTTTATACACAGCATCTGTTGTAATCAGTACAAGTTTTTTATTTGATGCTCAGAAGCAAAGCAACGTCAAACTTTTAAAAGCCGTTTCTTTTGACCTTATGTTACAGTGCCTTGTGAAAGTATTCGCCCCCCCTTGAACTTTTCAACCTTCTGCCACATTTCAGGCTTTAAACAAAGATGTACAATTTTAATTTTTTGTGAAGAATCAACAACAAGTGGGACACAATTGTGAAGTGGAATGAAATTTATTGGATGTGTCAAACTTTTTTAACAAATAATAAACTGAAAAGTGGGGCGTGCAATATTATTGGGCCCCCTTGCGTTAATACTTTGTAGCGCCGCCTTTTGCTGCAGTTCCAGCTGCAAGTCTCTTGGGGTTTGTCTCTATCAGTTTTGCACATGGAGACTGAAATTCTTGCCCATTCTTCTTTGCAAAACAGCTCGAGCTCAGTGAGGTTGGATGGAGAGCGTTTGTGAACAGCATTCTTCAGCTCTTTCCACAGATTCTGGATTGGATTCAGGTCTTGTTGGAAGATAAATCTCCGTCCCAGTCTCAGGTCTCTTGCAGACTCAAACAGGTTTTCTTCCAGAATGGTCCTGTATTTGGCCCCATCCATCTTCCCATCAATTCTGACCATCTTCCCTGTCCCTGCTGATGAAAAGCAGGCCCAAACCATGACGCTGCCACCACCATGTTTGACAGTGGGGATGGTGTGTTCAGGGTGATGAGCTGTGTTGCTTTTACACCAAACATATCGTTTTGCATTGTGGCCAAACAGTTGGATTTTGGTTTCATGTGACCAGAGCACCTTCTTCCACATGTTTGGTGTGTCTCCCAGGTGCTTGTGACAAACTTTAAACAACACTTTTTATGGATATCTTTGAGAAATGGCTTTCTTCTTGCCACTCTTCCAGAAAGGCCAGATTTGTGCAGTGTACGACTGATTGTTCTCCTATGGACAGACTCTCCCACCTCAGCTGTAGATCTCTGCAGTTCATCCAGAGTGATCATGGGCCTCTTGGCTGCATCTCTGATCAGTCTTCTCCTTGTTCCAGATGAAAGTTTAGAGGGACGGCCGGGTCTTGGTAGATTTGCAGTGGTCTCATACTCCTTCCATTTCAGTATGATTGCTTGCACAGTGCTCCTTGGGATGTTTAAAGCTTGGGAAATCTTTATGCATCCAAATCCATCTTTAAACTTCTCCACAACAGTATCTCAGACCTGCCTGGTGTGTTCCTTGGTCTTCATGATGCTCTCTGCGCTTTGAACAGAACCCTGAGACTATCACAGAGCAGGTGCATTTATACGGAGACTTGATTACACACAGGTGGATTCTATTTATCATCATCAGTCATTTGGGACAACATTGGATCATTCACAGATCCTCACTGAACTTCTGGAGTGAGTTTGCTGCACTGAAAGTAGAGGCTGAATAATATTGCACGCCCCACTTTTCAGTTTTTTATTTGTTATAAAAGTTTGACACATCCAATAAATTTAATTCCACTTCACGATTGTGTCCCACTTGTTGTTGAATCTTCACAAAAAAATAAACTTTTATATCTTTATGTTTGAAGCCTGAAATGTGGCAAAAGGTTGAAAAGTTCAAGAGGGCCGAATACTTTCGCAAGGCACTGTATGTCGATTTTATTTATTTTGTCACACACAGATGATGTTTACTTTCTTCTTTTACTTAAAAAAAAAAACCATTGTTTTTATTCTTAAATGAGATGTTTTAGTTGATTTGCCCAAGAATTGTTAAAAATATATAACAACTTGTGGAAAAATTTAATGTTAATACAATTCAAAATAAGATTAAAACAAATTAATAAAAAGTTTGAGTGTGTTTGACAGAGATTACAAAATCCAAGCACCACAAGCAAAAATACATTGTAAAAAAGAGGAAGAACATTTTATCTTCAGCTAAAAGAAGAACCAGTTGCACATATTCAGATTCAAACTGAGGACGAGGTGGTCTGTGTGACAATGATGGTCCAACACAAATTACAAACAACTAATAAAAGATACAGTGTATCCAAAGGTGAGTAGGATGTAGGTCACATTAAGTTAAAGTACAAAAACACCAAGCAGACTGTTCATTTTTGTACCCACAAAAAGGTATGGGTACGTGATGGCCAAAGTGTAAATATTTAAGAGCCTCCTCCATCATTTGTTTTTCATTATTCCCAGAAACGTATTTTCCATTATTGGCAGAAACTTTAAGAAAGGCAGGCAATCCTGAGTCCATTTTTGTGTGTCTGTTAGTAAAATATTCCATGAACCACTAAAATAATTTTCATGACTAAGCCATTGGGTTTACATCTATGACTGACTTAACTTAAATGACTGCCACAGCCAATCAACCATATCAAAACACAAACAAGGCAGTTTTGCAGACGGGGCTAAACTTGGGTGTGGTGGTAGTTGAGAGTAATCCCCATCGGATAGTTTGAACAACTATACAACTTATCTCAAGCCGGCTTCCTTTAAAAATGTAGGCACGCAAGGCAGCAATGCTACTTTTGTTTTAAAACCTGATTAATGCCAAATTATTATTTTTATTCTGTCCTAACAGAAACCCATAAAACTTTATAATTTTACTGAAAGGCTCTGTAATTGTTAAATAACACGATGATCTAAAATTTTAATTTTAAGTAGCAAACAAGCAATTAATCTATTTAACAGCCTCTCTGAATGTAAATAACACCAGGTAGTCATGATCAAATCAATACTAGGTTGGAGGCATTCCGAGTTACAGCTTTTAAATAACATCGTGTTACATCAGTTTATCACAGAAATGACGAAATAAGCACCTAATCCCCTTCGTCTTCACTTTTTTGCTGTCTTTCTCTTTTTTTAACCCGGCGTCTTTAACCTCTGATTTGAAGTTTAAGCTTAAAATACAGTCAATAAGTCGTGACATACAGTGAATGTCGTGAGGCTTTAAAACAAGGACTACAGTAGTGGAGGCATACGGAACCCTGATTATTTCATCAGACACAATCAATCTAAGAGGATAAGAAAAGGGATGTTAGCTGTGTAGCCTGGTACAAAGTTTGTATCGACACTAAGAGCTTTATAATAATTCACTTATTATTAATTATCGTTTCACATACATTAATAAAACAGGGCGGATTTGTAAGAAAATGCCTCGAGCAGACCCCTCACTGGACCCAGAGGCTTGAATAATGACAAATGTTGTGTTTACCGGCTAACTAATGTTAGCTGAAAGCTAGCTAATCTAAACCATCAACGTGTTGATAACAACTGCGTATAAAGCCACTGATTAACTACTACGACCGTGTTATGGTTTAAGAAACACAACCCAACTTTGTATAAACCGTTTAAATGGCCCACTAGTGTCCACTCGGGCAATACCCGCGGCCTACAACCACAGACGGGAGCCTCGGGCCTCGAGTTCCGAGAGAGCCGAGAGGCCGTAGCGCAACGGCGGACACTCACCATATGCGACAAGGGCCCAGGCTGCTCCTCGCCGTCAGGGCGAAGTTTTTTCGTCGTTAAAGAAGCGATGTGAACTTCAATCTTTGGCATCCAAAATAAGATGGTTAGGAGCCGTTTGTGTGGTTGGTGTCCGGGGTAAAAAATCAACAAAGGCCCATTTTTCCAGAGTGGGTCGCAGGAGATGAGAGTCGACGGGCCGGTAGCAGCAATCAGCAGACCCGACTGAACGCGAGCGCTGATGAGCTTTGTGTGTCGCATTCAGGAACACCCCCAGAGCTCGGAAATACCAGTGTTCGACCCCATGAAAGCACGCGTCATCATCCATCAAAACAGCTACTCGCACCTTTCAGGAACCAAGTTATTAATGCAAGTTGAATTATTTTAAATACATTAAGTTTCATGGTCTTTTGGTAAGACCTTGGTAATCTGTTTTTTATTATTTATCTACCTGGATTATTGAGCATGCATCTAGATGTGTTTTATTAGGTTTCAATTTAAGTGT